TTTCCTCATAGATAAGACCAGAGATACGTTTTACACCACCCCGTCGAGCTAAACGACGGATAGCTGGCTTCGTGATGCCCTGGATATTATCACGGAGCACCTTACGATGACGCTTGGCGCCCCCTTTTCCGAGGCCTTTACCACCTTTACCACGACCAGACATGACGAAAACTTCACTGCAGAATGCGTAAGACTCATAAACCACGCCTTATATAAAGCTCGTGCGCAAACGACCACGGCGTGACTCCACCACAAAAATTTGACCGACACATTTGTTTCAGATGCCTTTTAAAATGTTTGAACAGTCTGCACCATACATTTGACCTTCGGTCGTTTGCAGAGACCAAGTTATCTATCATGGATGAGTCAAGCATTCTAGCACTTTCTGCATCTGTTAATACGAATGAACTACACACAGAATTTTTTCAACGCATGCAAAATGCGGTTAGATCTTTTGCTGAAAAATTACAAGCATAAGCACAACCGTTTGCACATATTCCTACAAAATCGACATTTTCCTTCACATTTCTACAGAAATCAATGCCTTCGTTCATCAATTTTCTGAGTAATGTTTATCGAGAGGCACTTCAGCAACAAATTTGTAACACCCTCCATATTTTCTGCACAGCAAACCTCTACGTCTTGCAACGTAGTAACCTTGAACAATTCTGGATGATGACCAGCTGTGATGTATCAGAATGTAAAATGCGTTAAGGTTAAATGGTCTATTACAGCACCCATTCCAACTGCAAAAACTCAAGTACCCTTTGTCCTGTCGCAAACCTTCTTCGCCTAAAATGATCCCTTGATGTTACATTTCATGAACTTCACATCTAGAACCAACACCAAACCAGAAGAATTTGACGGATGCAACCAGACCTTGTAGATAAAAAACCTGCACCTTAAACTGCATTTTTCCAATTCCCGACCCTTCTCACCGGACCTCTTAGGGAAAAAAAGACACCTCATTTTTAATTAACAAGTTTCGTACTGGTTTCAAGCATTTCGCCTTACAAACTCTTCTGCAGCACCTTACGCTCTCATGTCAAAACTAGACATCCGCAACTGCCACCTTGGTCAACCGAAAACCCCCAGGCGCAACATTTAAAAGCAACCGAAAACCACAGATCACTCGCGAGAACTCATACAACCCACATCACACAAATGTAAGACCCAAATGTAAACAAATTAACGGAAGTAACGAGTGTTCCTACAGTACAGTGTTCCACAAAACCTCAACCAGATCACCTTATCACCTTATTTCCATGTTTAAAAAAAACCCAGGAAAAACCAAAGACGACTTAGTTTATATGCGTTGTCCAAAAGCGCTATCCAGAGACACCAAAGTATTCAAACTGGATCATTCGACTTAGAAACTTGTGGCCCTAAAGAGGGCCGTTGGGTTATTATGATGTAAAGCCTCCCGGTAAAACCGAACGGATTTACTTCGAACTGGTGTACTTGGTAACAGCTTTAGTACCTTCTGAAACGGCATGTTTCGCAAGTTCTCCAGGCAGAATAAGCCTGACTGCCGTTTGAATTTCGCGGGATGAGATGGTAGACCTCTTGTTGTACTGGGCAAGCCGGCTAGCCTCTGCTGCAATCCTTTCGAAAACGTCATTAACGAAAGAATTCATTATTGACATCGCCTTCGAAGAGATCCCAGTGTCAGGGTGAACCTGCTTCAGAACACGATAAACGTAAACTGAGTAGGACTCCTTTCTCCGGTTCTTCTTCTTCTTGTCGCCAGTTCTCGGCTTTTGGGCCTTGACGGCTTTCTTAGCTCCCTTTGCAGAAACCTTTGGAGGCATGGTAGACGTTGATGGCTGCTGAAACAAACACCAATAATGGCATAAAACTCACAAACGGGCTATTTATCGACGACAACTGCAGCGACCCCGCCCACTTTACGGAAATGGCGCCAAAAAACTGGCGCGAAACTTCCGTGATCTTCTTTTAGGCTTTTTAACGTTGGCTATTAGCGATGCAGTGTTTAACTGATGCAGTAGGTAGACTCCATAAAAGTGCTGGTTTTCATCAAAAGGACGACGGTATGAGAGCGTTGCAATGTGGGTTTATCATACAGGATTTGAGCAGAGGGAAAGTAGGGAAAACGGAAGGAAAATAGCTGAGTTTTTTGCTTTGAAAAGTGTTCACATGGTGCACTTGTTTAGTTTACAGATCATTTCCGTAGGACTTTGAGTTTTTTTGCTTTCTGAGCGTGGCGGATAGCGTGAGAATACTAGATCTACAGCGTACGAAAAAATTTGTGTATTGGTGCTGTTTGCCGCGTTACTTCACCGAAAATAACTGTTACTTCTAAAAACAGTAATGCGCCAAGGATTTAATGTGTAATATATCTCTGCGGAAACTATAATCGATTGTACCAAATAGTCCCTTAAATTAATTATTGAAGTCGGCAAACTCGGGCAACTCTGTCTCACACTAATGCTGTCTGGCTTTGTTGTAAAATGGCAGTTTTCGTAAGTTTTTAAGTAATGTTTTAAGTAGTATGCCAGAAAGTGATGAAGGACGAGAAAAAACTTTTTGAATGTTTGACGTGTTTTAAAAGTCACCATTTTGCTTCTTTAAGAATTAAGGTTAGTACAACTTGGATGTTAACAGCTAAGCGCCAATGCAATTTACAATGCCACACATTGTTCTGTACTGCTAATTTTCCTTCTAACTTTAGATGGAGTTCTCAACAACATTCCACTCATCTAAATCAACCTCAGCACTGCTTTCCTAGTTGTAGGCATACAACTTTAAACTGCGATTTGCTACCTTTATTTGTTGGATTGCAAGCCCGCCTTAAAAGAGTCGCCTTTTAAGGACTCCCCGCATACGGAAGTTCCGTAGTGTTAAACTAGGACTTTGCGAAGAGAGTGAAAAGATTGAAGATCAGACAGAAAAACGTTTAAATCTTAACTAAAATCCTTGATCCGCTGTGAATCTTCACCTACCATATTTAAAAACTTAAAAGTACGAAGCTCACCCGTCAACCTCTAAACCAAATTTTCGCAGAGAAAAAACCAAACCAAAAATTTACTAGCTCCATTGATTATGATGTAGAACACTTAAATGTTCAAAACAGTGCACAAGTATCGCTCAAACCAACTTAAATTAAACGGAACGAGATTATAAAAATTGGTATACACAAAGTAAAGATGTCACAAAAGAAGCATTTGGAAAAAGCCACCACAAATTGCACTACAGCAAATGTCCACAAAGTTGTAACTGTAGTTATAACCATGTCCCACCACATTGTAGTGGCTGAGCGTTTTCAATTCTTCTGCTTGAGTGGAATCTTCAAACACCACCCAACCTACATCAATGAAGATGGAAATGTTTCCGTGGGAAGGTCAGGAGGAAAAAAAACCAACTTTTTTACACCCGTCCTGTCGTCTAGTCGCACTCTAAACTATAAACTTGTATCTCAATCATGCAAAAAATTCTGAAAACGTTAAAAGACTGGTGTAAAAACACAACAAAAGACAAATTTGTGTTATAAAAAATATGAATATTATGCAAATTTAGAAGTACTCGCTGTATTTGCCTTCCACTTTCTTTTTTCCACTTATACCTG